GCCAGCATTTTTCTTTCTTTGTTCTGTCGTGGTAGTCCCTCGATGACACATACAGGCAGGAGTACTGTTGCCACAGCTCCACGAACCTTTCCTCCATCTCATAATTATTTCGTTTCACCATGTTTGAAACCTGTGTATGAAAGAGCTTCTGTGCTGCTATTGGTCAACGTCACCAATGTGACAGAACTCGTCGTGGACGACGGGAAAAAAAATTAAACATGCTAGTCTTTCTGTCGTGTAGCATCGCAGACTCAGTTGTCGTCCACTATGACACACTACACGTGCTGAAACGATGGAATCTTGCGTCCCGACGCCCATTGTTGTTTACGAATCCCCACGACACCCTACGTCAAGCAAATCGTGGCAAAATCGGGCTAAAATCGTGTAGTCTGAACCGGGCATTATGCTCACCAAGGCTGCATTTATTTAATAAAACTGTTATTCTGTCAGGACCACTATCGTCAATGTAACTTACGATTAGCATTCATTTTAGGTTGGGGGAATGGTTCTGTTCTGGGCAAACACTCCCTAACCCATCCACGCAGCCTAGCATGGATAGGGTAACCCCCTAGGGTAACAGAACAGAACCAACATCAATGATAAATGTAGCTGATACCATTAATGTTCTACGTAATTATTTTAACAACATGATTCAGTGGTCTGGCTCAATGATATATTCACTGCCAAGTCCTGACTGGACGAGAGGAGGAGCTGGGGATGGAGGTGGGTGATTAGCTCCTGAGCGAAGCAATAGCTGCTGAATAATGACTGAAGGGACCTTATGAAGGGAATTATGATTGGTGTCGTGATCCTATAGGTAGACGTGGATCAGCTGAGTGTCAGCTGATGCGAGCTTGACTAACATGGCCTGCCAGAACTATCGCTACGCTCTATTAATGTGAAATATTATTATCATTTATTTTCTGTAAAATGTAATTTATTGCTGTGATGAAGCGCTGAATTTTCAGCATCATTACTCCAGTCTTCAGTGTCACATGATCCTTCAGAAATCATTCTAATATACTGAATGGAGAATGCAGTGAGTTTATTATTAGTAATGTCAGTTTGTGAAGTTTCATCTGCTCTCAGGAGGGGGCAGCACAATGCTTCAGAACAACTGAAACTCGTTCACAGACCACATCTGTTATACCAATAGACGCTGTGGTTAGCAGCCATTTATTTTCATAAACTGATCAAAGATGATTTTATCAAACCGGCAACCACAGCTGCCGGTATTTCGCCATAAAATCAAGAAAAAAAACAGCAAAATACTGTAAAACCTAACAGTCAACTTCCTGTTGTGTTTTGTGGGTCACCATTGTGCTGGAGAGCAGAACCTGTGTTTAAGTAAAGGACGGACAGAAAAACACTGATGTTATGCTGCTTGTTGTTTTATTTAAAGGCAGTAACGGTGTAGTTACTGATGCGGTGTGAATCTCTTCAATAATTTCAATCACACATGAATGTGTGCTGCTATTCTCTGCAAGAGATTTGAGTTGAATTGATGCTTCTAATGACTTTGCATAAATCAGTAGGTTTTTCTTCATGGATTTAAACAATATAGTTCTTAATACCAGTATACTTGCAGTACTTAAACATTATAAATATTAGTTTATAAACAAATGCCGATTGGCCAAATTAAGTGCAGTCGGTTTCTGCAAATAAAATGAGTTAACTCAAAGGTTTGCATATTAACATTGTATCAATTATTGAAATACAGTTTTTCACTGTAAATTTAAACAGTTCTGTAAAATCTAAAATGTTGCTACCGTATTTTTCACGGTAAAGTTCTGGCAACCACAGCTGCCGGTATTTTACCGTAAATTTAACGGATTTTTTTTTACAGTGTAGCACACAGTCCATTTTAGGTCTGACATACAGATCATACCTGGGGTCCATGAGAACAGAAGAGATTCTCTTCCAAACATCTCACTATAGGAAACGTATGGCCAACCCTCGTAATGCATTCTTTCTGGTGCCTTTAAACAGACCTGAACAGAATGACAGATAACCTCTCATTTCTCTAGCGAACCGACTTCAGGAACTGCATGAGCTATTGACATCCAGCAGGATATTAAAGGAATAGTTCATCCAAAAATGAAAATGTCCTGTAAATGGACTCATCCTCAGCTCATCCGAGATTAGGATGAGTTTGTTTCTTCATAAAATTTGGAGAAATGTAGCATTGCATCAGTGTCTCAGCAATGGATGCTCTGCAGTGAATGGGTGCCGTCAGAATGAGAGTCCAAACAGCTGATAAAAACATCACAATAATCCACAAGTAATCCACTCCAGTCCATCGGTTAATGTCTTGAGAAGACAAAAGCTGCATGTTTTTAACCTCAGACCTTTGCTTTTGGCTAAATAAGAGTCCATAATCCATAATAACGCTTCCTCTAGTAAAAAAGGGGCCTGGCTTGAATCAAGAGAGAAATCTGCACAGCTCAAGCACTGTTTACAAGTGAAAACAGCCCAAAACAGCTCTAAACAAATATGTTGGTGGATTTTGATGTGAGAGACAACAGGAGATTTTTACTGGAGGAAGCGTTATTATACATTATGGAGTTTTTTTGTTTGTTTTTGGCCAGAAGTAACAGTTTAAATTTAAAATGCCTTAATGATAGAGTTGTTTATTACAAACACGCAGCTCATTGACGGACTGGAGTGGTGTGGATTACTTGTGGATTATGGTGATGTTTTTATCAGCTGTTTGGATGCCAAATTTCTCCAAATTTCAATGCAGAAACAAAATCATCTAACATCTTGGATGGCGTTTCAGCAAAATTTCATTTCTGCGTGAGCTATTCCTTTAATTTGATAAAAAGTGTAGAGAAAGCCAGCTTGCCATCACACAAACATCTCCAGCAGATATAAAAGGCACTTGACTCCAGTACCTCCAGTACCATACAAAGCACTGACCTTCGAAAGGAAAGCAATAGCAAAACCCTTACTGTATACCCTTATAGTCTGCGTTAAAGCTCAGATATTCTGGGTGAACAGACAAAGAATGTTACTCACCCACTTGGCTGAAACTAAAGCAAGGAATATAACCAACCTTAAGGTTAAGAACTTGATATTCACGCTCTCCAGCGGTTCAAAAGGAGGTTAAGGGATTCAGTACCATGGACAGGTCTCATGATGGGATCAACCGTTTACACGCTTACTGCCAAAAATCTCTCATCCCAACCAAACCCAGTGGAACCAATGTCAATGACGAGAACATCGTGCTCATAACAGCACCAACCTATCCCCGCGCAACTCAGAGACTCTGATGAAACGCCATCAATGTCCTTTCAAATTTTAAGGTGAGGCATTAGCACAATGTTCCTGTAAAGTTGTAAATTCCCAAAAAGTTGTGTGGCTGCTGCATCCCAGTTCGCATACTACCTGTCAGATCTTGTATTCAAAATTATAATTAGTGTCCCAAATCATAGTATGTTCAAGTGAGTATCCCAAAGGTACCCAGATCGTCTACTATTTCTGATGGAAATTCAAACTGCAGATTCATGCACTTTCTAATTCACTCACTCTCTAAGGCTGATGATACATGGGGCAAAATTTTGAGCAATTTGAGTAATGTTGCTTGGGCACTTTCCCATTGAGAATGGGTAACACATTTCTATCTGGATACTTTAGATCGGTCGTGGGCTCTGTGTCTCACCGGTTGCCCGTTGACGGCAATATTTCCTAAAGTTGCCCGGCGACATTGCTCAAAAAGTTGCCCTGTGTATCACCAGCCTGAGGCATCCCATTG